TCTAGCTTTTGTGTATGAGAAGTGCAGATCACGTATCTGCAGCAGCCAGAGGTACAGCGAGAACTTTACTACCAGGATATTAAAGGGCAGAGCAGCGATCCGACCATAGGGTGACGCCTCTGCAGACTTCACTGTTGTTTACACACCCGAAATTATAAAAAAAAAGCCTTTTCTTGGATCTCCACCTTATAGAAAAAATATCTGATTTGCCACTTTAATCCGTGGATGGAGAATACAATAAGACACAGTAAAGGAGGTGAGCGGAAATGCCTGTAGGGGCCACCTGCTCACTGTGTCACCTATTATAATTTGGATGTGGTTACATTTATTATGTTTGTCCCCCCCCCGTGTGTGAGTGACAGTTGCGGGAAGCAGTTTGTGACCCGAGCGGGGACGTCTAAGAGATTCCTCATCACTCGGCTTGTGGCGATTACACAGGATTTAGTGTTATGTGGAACTTTAGTTGTTATATTTGCCCGTGTAATATATAAAAAGAAACATCCTCATTTTGTTACCTTTATTGTTTGTTCTTTGGGATAATAATCATAAATACACAACAGCAAAGGGCCATTCTAATACGAGTTTCAGAGACAGGAACATGGGAGAGTGACGGAAGAAAAAGACCAACAGGTCCATCGAGTCCCGCCCATTTTTGTTTTGTTTTTGTCAGGCATAGGGCTGTGCTCCCGGAGATTGGGCTATGCTCCCGGAGATAGGGCGATGCTCCCGGAGATAGGGCGATGCTCCCGGAGATAGGGCGATGCTCCCGGAGATAGGGCTGTGCTCCCGGAGATAGGGCTGTGCTCCCGGAGATAGGGCTGTGCTCCCGGAGATAGGGCTGTGCTCCCGGAGATAGGGCTATACTCCCGGAGATAGGGCTATACTCCCGGAGATAGGGCTATACTCCCGGAGATAGGGCTATACTCCCGGAGATAGGGCTATACTCCCGGAGATAGGGCTATACTCCCGGAGATAGGGCTATACTCCCGGAGATAGGGCTATACTCCCGGAGATAGGGCTATACTCCCGGAGATAGGGCTATACTCCCGGAGATAGGGCTATACTCCCGGAGATAGGGCTATACTCCCGGAGATAGGGCTATACTCCCGGAGATAGGGCTGTGCTCCCGGACATTGGGTATTGAATAAACATATCAATACTTTAAAAACCCTTCAAGTGTGTGCCGGTGAATTACTTTCATTTACTTTCCCTTCATCGAGTACAGAACTGTACAGTGGATGCCATGTAGGTCACTTAGACCGCCTGCTTCTCTCTCTTGTAGGAATAAGGGTTATTTTAAGGTACCGGCAGGGCCAGGAATAGGCCCGGAGCTCTGTGTAATTTGCTATTAATTAATCTTCTTCAGGAAGTCGGATGCTGTAACGCGCTGAGCAGTCACGCACCTTCTGCCTCCCTAATTAATGGTTTGCAGAGCAGCTTGGCACGAACAGTACATCTGCAGAAAAAAAGAACTCTTATATGCTACAGATCTCCCGCCTTACCCACAGCAGCATGTCGCAGTGCAAGAGCCGATGACCCAATTTATTTTTAAAGCAGAACGGCCCAAGCCCCCCCCTCCCCCTCATCAAATACTTGTTATGTACATCTTATATGATCAGTATTAAAAATGTCCCTCCCCTTCCCCCAGCAATCCCTGTTAAGCTTTACTCCATAGACCCGCATCCAGCCTAACCAAGCACATGAGAGAACCTGTGTCCTTCATCATCCTGGTTACTGTGCAAGCAAAAGCCTGGAAACAACCATCTGTGTGCTTCAAACAGAGAATAATGGGCACCATGATACAGGAGAAGATGACGGCTAGCTTGAAAGACACCCAAAAAAACTTTTAAGAATCTGATCTCCTTTGGTAGGCCACCGCCAATCACTTAAAGTGGACGCACACTTGATTTATAAATCATTTGCACAGCTCTTCGATGTGATTTGCAGCACTGTATGGCCACTAGATGGAGCCGAGCAGTACAGAAAACTCCTATGCTCTTCGGCTCCACCTAGTGGCCATACTAGCACGGCGCGTCTCGACCGCACAGCGAAGAGTTGTGCAAATGGTTTTCAAATCAGCGCTTACTGAGATTGTGATTATCTAATTACCCTGCAGAGCCATCTTGCAACCCACCTAAGCCCACCCTTTTGCCCCCTAAAGTTTTTTTTGCACTCTATAGCTCTTTTTTTCCCCCCTTTTATCTCTTCTGTTGCCCCTCCGTACTCCACTCTTTAGCTCCGGGCTTCTCTCATTTTCTTTGCTTTCTCTCACCCTATGGATCTTATTCTCATCAAGTCACCGATGAAGAGGGTATGGTTTGTAGCTCCACTTATCCCCATTAGTGATGGGCTCGGGCGTGTTCGCAAGCGCCTCGCGCCGAGTCCGCCGTGAAGCTGTCAGCACGAAGGGCCAATCGCAGGCACTGAGACATTTCCCGATCTCTGCACCTGCGGACCGGGAACATGTCTCAGTGCCTGTGATTGGCCCCCGCGCGCTGACGGCTTCCTGGCGGGCTCGGCACGAGGAGCTTACGAACACGCCCGAGCCCATCACTAATCCCTAAATCTTAACTCATTGGATTAGATCCAAGAGATGCTCATATAAGATTTGTAATCCCGGCTTATCCCTAAATCTTATCTTCTCATTGGCATTAAATCCAACTCCCCCCTCCCCCCCCGCTGCCTACAAGTAAATCTCACATAAGATTTGTAAGCCCGTGCATGCTTGTGACTCCTCACCCAACGCCTATTATATTCCCGTTAAATGTTACTGTTAACAAAAAGTTTCTAAACGAAAGACTTATGTGGGGAATTTATCAAAAGCGGAGCAGTTGCCCCCGGCAACCAATCGGCTTCTCTCTTCAGTTTGTTCAGTTAAGGTTTGAAAATGAAAGAAAGAAGCTGATTGGTTGCCATGCACAGCTGCTCCAGATTTTGTCTGCTCGTTTTGATAAATTACACCCCATTGTGTTTTGCTCTCATATTCTCCATTTGGAAAGCCCCGACAGGGCAGGGATTGGCAACCTCGGCACCCCAACTGTGCTGCAGCTGCACATGCCATCACGCCTCTGCCTCTGCGAGTCATGCCTGTGGCTGTCGTAGTCTTGCAATGCCTCCTGGGACTTGTAGTTACACAGCAGCTGGAGGGCCGAGGTTGCCTCCCCCTGTAATAGAAATTATGTGGAAGTAAACACCTAAAAATAACAGAATAATACCGCAGTCACATAACTGCCACAGTTGCCGCCTTCTCCTTCGTGAGCAGATTATGGGCGGGGAGCCGCGTAGAAATACTCCCGCATTGTAATTGGAGCATCTGGCTCTGCATTGTGCCCCCCTAAGCATGAGGGGGATGAACTGATCTGTGTCTTATGGCAGAAGAGACATAATATCCCTGGAACCCGCAGAGTGTCATAGACGCTCATTACAAATCTCTCTCCCATCTGTGCAACAAATGACGCAACTTGCAACAGATTCATGGAACTGCATAACGGGGCCACCGTGGGCCGCCCACCCTCCTACACCGCCCACTGCTGCTCTCTCTCCTCTTGCAGGGTGACCGGTCTTGTCTCTGCCCCCTCCTGTAAAGAGACCGCCCACTGCTGCTCTATCTCCTGGTGCAGGGTGACTGGTCTTGTCTCCGCCCCATCCTGTAATAAAGACCGCCCACTTCCGCTCTCTCTCCTTGTGCAGGGTGACTGGTCTTGTCTCCACCCCCCTCCTGTAATAAAGACCGCCCACTGCTGCTCTCTCTCCTTGTGCAGGGTGACTGGTCTTGTCTCCACCCCCCTCCTGTAATAAAGACCGCCCACTGCTGCTCTCTCTCCTTGTGCAGGGTGACTGGTCTTGTCTCCGCCCCTCTTCTGTAGTTCCTGCAGTGGGTGGGGTCTGCTGGGCCCCTCCCACACCTCTGCTCCCTGCTCAGGCTATATACAGCACAGTGATGACGTCACTGCTAATTTAACAAGGTAATATCTTAATTTGCTAAGTCTTTTGGTGCACACAAAGTGCGTTTATCTCCTCTGTGGCTAATGAGGAATATATTTAAATGAAAGTTTTTGTGCCCGGAGTTGAGTTATATATATTTTTATCCGGGTTGGAGTTTCGCTTCAATCGCCAATATTGCAATCCTTCCGCTAAACTCTCTTCCAAAAGAGGCGATATGGATCCCTCGGCTCTCCCACTGCCCCCTCCCCCCTTATTACGAGGTTGTATCTGTGTTGGTACGAGCTGGCAGGGAAGGTGCTGATGATGGTGATGCTGATGAGAGATCTCCATGGCAACCAGTCGGCGATCCCTCCATATCTGTGCGGAAGCTTCATAATTGCAGAGCTGGTGAGATTTAAAAGGGCCTCTGCATGGAAGTGACGGGTGGGTACTAGTCAAGGAAGACTTGCCTGCTCATAGATGGATGTGAACCATATCCGAACCGATTTTTATTTGACACAGAGAGGTGACGCCATATTGATGGAGATGCAGCAGGTGTATGGTAGCGCTGGACTGACACAAGTCAGGTTTTGGTGGATGTGAATCTAAATAAGTCACTTCTCCTTTATGGAGGTCCCTCTACAAATGAAGGGGCAGTGAAAAATGACGAGCTCACACGTCACAGGCGGATGATCTGTGGTGCGTCGGGCCCTAGGCACCTGTCTAGGTTGCCTGGTAGGTGGATCCAGCCCCGATCACCAGGAATTCTTATAATGAAGGATTAGTTCTCCTGAACACAATAAAATGGATCGGGGGGAGGTCTGATGTGATCTCAGCTCAAGACACATTGGGGGGAGGTCTCATATGACCCCAGCTCAAGACACATCGGGGGGAGGTCTACTGTGACCCCAGGCCAAGACACATCGCGGGAAGGTCTGATGTGACCCCCAGCCCAAGATACATTGGATCAGAACTGATGTTACTCCAGCCAAAGACACATCGGGGGGAGGTCTGATATGACCCCAGGCCAAGACACATCGAGGAGAGGTCTGATGTGACCCCAGGCCAAGACACATCGAGGAGAGGTCTGATGTGACCCCAGCCAAAGACACATTGGGGAAGATCTGATGTGACTCCAATGTTGTGTGTGCCCCCGGCCAAAGACACATCGAGGAGAGGTCTGATGTGACCCCAGGCCAAGACACATCGGGGAGAGGTCTGATGTGACCCCAGGCCAAGACACATCGAGGAGAGGTCTGATGTGACCCCAGGCCAAGACACATCGAGGAGAGGTCTGATGTGACCCCAGCCAAAGACACATTGGGGAAGATCTGATGTGACTCCAGCCTAAGACACATTGGGGAAGATCTGATGTGACTCCAGCCTAAGACACATCGAGGAGAGGTCTGATGTGACTCCAGCCTGAGACACATTTGGGGAGGTCTGACGTGACCTCAGCCCAAGACACATCGGGGGGAGGTCTGATGTGACCCCCAGCCCAAGACACATCCCGGGGAGGTCTGATGTGACCCCAGGCCAATACACATCGGGGGG